AGTGGGAGACACACAAAAGTCCAGATGTAGAATAATCAGTTTCTGAAAACAGACTGAACCTGCTTGTGGGAAAATGGAGATTGTCAAGTATAAAACAAAATTGGCCCTGCCAGGGGGGCATATGTCTTTAATCCCAGCACTCGGGAGACAGAAACATACAGATGTTTGAGAGTTTGAGGCCAGCCTGGTCTATAGAACAAGTTCCAGGACAGCCAAGGCTCAGGCTACGCAAAGAAACCCTGTCTCAAAAAATCAAAAGAAAGTACAAAGTTTCTAAGCAGCCTCCTCAAACAAAAGAACAAGAAAATATTGGAAAATGATTTTTAAAAATACATTAAGATCTCTATCCTGCAAAGAACTGAATTAATTATATTTAATAAAACTACACAGACTTTGAGGCAAAAAGTATTTAAGAAGTGGAGGGTTGGCACAAAATCAAACAACCAACCAAGAATCTGTTTCACCATCTCAGTGTGAGAACATAGCATCTTGATATATTTCATGGTATACTGAAGTTTTAGTGAAAGCAAACACCACCCTATTACATGTTCTTTCATTCACAATTACTTGTTGTCGATCGGTTTTGTATAAGAAGATTAACTCTTAATCACAGTGGGCTTACAGTGGATAACTGCATAGTTGTTTTTATTTTTCCTGTCTACATTCCTATATGTTTTTTATGGTGAACACATTTTATTCCTGTGCTGAAAAACAAACTTTGAGTTGGAAAAAGAAATAACGCCACAGATTTCTTGTTGTTAAGAACTTCCCAAGTACACAACAATCAAACAAGTTCAAGGTCTTCTGCCAATTGGTTTTTATGGTTCTGTTTTCCAAAGCTGGGAAACAGGTGTGCTATCAGTCAAGGGTCATTACTCTGGCCTCTGAAAGGCTTTATCAGGCACCTTCCCTTTCCAAGAGGATGTATCAGGCACCTTCCCTTTCCAAGAGGATGTATCATCAGACCTGGCAGGAGACACACAGTCACAAACTCACAAACATCTGTGTGGAGAAGAGCAAGGCCCAGATGGAAGATCAGGGCAGAGAGTCAGTGGTGGCTTTCAGAGAAACTCAGAAGCAGGCAGGACAGGAAAGACCTGTAGGGACAGGGATCAGAGTGTTCCAAAGCCAAGCTAATGCTGGTGGAGAAAACAAAGATGATGTGAAATGGACAAAAAAAAAAAAAAAGATGAAGACTGGTTAGTAAACTAAGCCATGGAATGCATGACTGTAACCCTATCACTGGAGAACCTGGGCCAGGAGCATCATGCGTTTGTGGACAGCACTACACCTGTTTCAATACTTTAAACGCGTTGCTTGAAAAGCCACCACTGAAGTTTTAGCATCTGCTATTCGAGTGATACCAGGTGAACAGTGCAGGACGTGGACAGGGGAGCAAAGAGGGAGCCACCAAGAACAGACAACCAGACCTGTGACTCACACAGTCACAGTCATCGATGGCCATATATAATACACATAGTCAAGATTTACATGCACATGCCCTGTCTCTGAGTCCTATAAGGCCACATTATTTGGGAATTTCCACACATTGGACTTTGTAAAGTTCCTACACTAATTATCCCAAGGGTTTTCACACATCAGTACTTCCATTGTTTCTAAAATGTTCTTTCACCCCCTTAAGGGGCCACATTTGTAAGAATTAAAGGATCTGCAAAACACAAAGTAGAAGCCTGGGGGGGGGCAAGTATTCACAGGGAGGGGAGGGGGAAGGCAAGAAAGGGGCTAACAAAGGGGAGGGGCTAGAGAAGGGAGGGGACTAGGGATGAGAAGGGAGGAGGCGGGAGAGAGGGAGAAGAGTGCACTCTACTTCTGCAAAGGGGAGGAAGGCAAGCACAAGCCTGCCCTCTTGCTTCATACCTGAGGAAAGGAGTCCACGTTTTCCCAGCTGCCACTCCCAGCCATGCTCACAGTGGCCCCTGTGTGGCAAGAGGGGTTGGTCCTGTCACTCTGCAGAACTGGCACTCGGCTATCTGCTCTGCCCTTGTAAGGTTGTTTTGTTTGGTTTGAAAGAAAACTATGGTTTTCCTTTCTTAGTTCTCATGCTCTGGCATCAGGATTTCTCAGCTCTCAGTCTACTTCCTGCACTGACTGACAGATAGGCAGACGCTACTTTCAGAACTCGTCAAGTAGATTTTACATACACTGCACAGCTTGTATTTTAATTCATGGTTCAGAATCCCCCAATGTGCTCTCTCTGTCTGCAGGGGGTGGGGGGATCACTTAGTGCTTTTGCTTGGTGGTAGAGAGGGGAATAGAAATATCACTTGCACAGATCTACCAGAGGAATGGAGACTGACAGATACGGAATTTTGTGTGACTTGTGGACCAGTGTGACTCATAGAACTGTTTCAGTGCTCAAGTCCCCACTCTCCCTAACTCTTCAACAGTCCCCCTTCCTGACCTCAGATTAGAATGCTTGAGTGATTTCCTGTTCTCTTGGTTTAAATTTCTCCTGGTTTTGTTGCTATTTTATTTTGGTTTTGTTTTTAGTTTGACTTTTTTGAGACAAGGTCTCATAGGAAGACCCAGCTGGACTGAAACTTTGGACTGCTTTCCGAGTGCTGGGCTGAGATGCATGTATCATCACACTGGGCAAGATAAAAAATCTTCACTTTATATCTAATCTATGAGTCTGTCTCCCACACCCTGTCCCTTTGTCCTCTGGTCTGAAGACACACAGATATCCTATCAGTTGTTCAAATGGAACAGTATGTGCTTCTCTGTGCACACTAAATGATCCTCTCATCCTCCATTTTTCAGTTAATAGTCTTCAATTTTCAGTTCCATTGTTACTCCTCAGGGAAATATTCTCTGATCTGTCTGACAGAGTCAAATTCCCTTAAAAAAGCTCTGTACCCATTCCTTTCTAAACATGCGAGTCCGTTATAATTTAATTATGTAATTCCTAGCGTTTAGCCCAATCATTTTATGTATATTTTATGCTACTTAAAGGCCTTCTGTTCCCATCAGTGGGCTGCAGGTCCTATGAGAAGAGTGGCTATGTCTATTTTTGCTCATATCGATTTTGTAACATTTTTAATGTATTCAAAGGACAGTTATCACTATGTGACAAGAGGAAGGACCAGTGAGGTCAAGAAGAGCATATGGCAGCAGCAGAAACAATGGCAAGTTACTGCAGGATATCAAGCATAGCAGATAAAGAAGCTTTACTAAGATCTTGGCAGTTGACCCTGGGACTTCCAGATCTGCAAAGCAGTAACATATAAAGCAGCAGCAAAGCTGGCTGTTTCAATTACCTGATGCCATTGCTGAATAACCCAAAGCTATTCAGAGGACACCGTGACTTCAATCATTCAACCAAGAGCTAAATAGAAGGAGCACAGGTAAGGCCCCTTGCCCACCAAGTGTGAGCTACTCTGTAAAGCTAATTCCAGGTGTATGTTTTTGTGTCAGTCCTATCCTAAATAGTTTGTACTGATGTGCTCTGCAGCTAGAACTTGAAGCTCCGTTCCCTTCCACACCTGTCCTGGACACACACTCTAACCCAACTCACTGTTTTTCAAATCTGCCTGAGAAATCCTTGACTCCTTCCAAGTTCAGCTCAAGAAATGTTCTTGAGCCAGGTTGTAGTGGTACACACCTTTAGTCCCAGAACTTGGGAGGCATAGGCAGGCAGATCGACATGAGTTCAAGGCCAGCCTAGTCTACAGAGAGAGTGCCATGACAGGCTCTAAAGCTACACAGAGGGACCCTGTCTTGGAAAAAAATTGTTCTTGAGAAAAACTCAGTGCTATATCCCACAATGCCTTGCAACATTAATGAACACAATTCATTAATTCAGTCATCATTCCTTAATGGATATAACAGTTCTGACCATCTTCTTGATCTTATGTCATTTGTCTGTTTTATCTCACATTGAGTCTATTGAAGGACCCACTTGAACCCACAGTATGCTTGGAATAAGACAGTTATATATTGGATCTTTAAAGTCACATAGCGCAGAACATGACAGTCCAGAAGTAACCAAGACTTTTGACTATAACACCAAGCATTCCCAGAAACTTTCTAAGGCCTTTTTTGTAACTCGTAAGTCCAAAGGTCAGGGTGTTTAGACCAATGCTAGTCCACTTACTAATTCCTAGATCACTTCAATTACATAAGCACATTGGCATATGAAGACAAATGTCTTCTCTTTGAAGAAGACTTGGTCTATGCTTTCCCGAATGATGTCCCAATCACATAATCGTGTTAAAATCTGGGCTAAGCTACAGTTTTGCCTCTTCTCCTGGCTTGGGTGATGTCAGTTCATCTTCTATACCTAATGAGCATTGTCCTTCATTAAACTTTATCCTCTTACAAAAATACATCACAGAAGTTTACATATTAGATACTGATAAAGGGATAAACATTAACACTTACTGCCTTGCTAGCCATGGTAGAATACACCAGCACTCAGTAGGCTGAGGTACGAGAATGGCTCGTTCATGGCCAACCTGGGCTACACAGCAGTTCAAGCCAGCCTCAAGCTATATAATGAGATCCTGTCTCACAACCATAAAGGAAAGGGGTTCGACTTGGTGGTAGTACAAGCCTAGCATGCATAAGACTCTGAACTCCATCTCTAGCAGTGAAAATCAAAACAAAATAACCTCACTGCATCTTTATATCATGAGACAGGTGCACATATGCTGAGATTACCACTAAAATCCTTCACCTGAGTTACCCTTCTATTAATTAATTTATAAGTAATGTGCTGAGCCCCTGGAGGTGAAAAGCCGTAACCAGAGCCCCATAGTTGAACCCAGTTGTGCCTGATGCTGAACTACACAACTAATTCTCAGGACTTGATGCCTCTTGTCAAGTCTCTTTTTATTTTCCAAGTAATTATAAAGAGACACTCATGCAGAGGAAGAAAGAGAGGGAGGGAGAGAAGGAGTGAGGGAGGGAGGGAGGGAAGGAGAAAGGGAGGGAGGGAGGGAGGGAGGGAGGGAAGGAGGAAAAGAAAGAGGGTGGGTTACCTGATCAGGCCCAAGTCTTCTCCATTCAAATCCACCAATTTCAAGACTAACATTTCCTTGTCTGTGTTTGAAGAATACCTGTCAGGAAAATAAAGGAACATGGTCAATTTATATCAGAGACTGACCCTAATCTGCTACCAACAATAGAAGCAGACACAAAACCTATATCTTCATGGATAAAGGTACTAGCCAGGCAAGCCTGAAAAGCTGTGATCTCCAGAACTCATAAAGGGAAAAGGAGAGAACCAGCTCTCAGAAATTGCTCTCTGACTGTCACAACGTGCTATGACATGAGTGTTCTCAACACACATATGCACACACATGTACATACACACTAACAATAATAAGCAAATAAATTTTAATGTCTCTTAGTGAACTCCACAGTAAAGAGCAACCCTACATTGCAGTCAATACCTCATTCCTCAGCTAATTGTAGTTTACAATTCTGATCAATGGTGGGGCACTAGATCAACTAACTGAAGCTAAAATACATTTTATAACATGATACTATATAACGCAGATGTGTCTCTTACAAACAGGATTTGTGTTTGAAATGTCTACTAATATCAACTTTCAATGAACTCTCATCAGAAGGACACAGAGATTGCAAATCAAGGCCTGTCAAGACCTGAAACTTCAGAATTCTCCATCTTTTCGAAGGAAATAAGATGATAACTTCTAAAAATAAGTACCTTTGGAAACTACACAAATGTAAGCTGTTAAGCAGTCAGATTAGAACTGAAATGTCACTGTACGCTGTCACAGTACCCATGTGTGTCTCCTCATCATTAACAAGCCTGGCTTATCACTCTAAAAGATACAGAGCCTCATGTCCACTGGCTGTTGCATTTAGTAATGATCTGTGTTTCTCTCCCTCCCTCCCTCCCTCCCTCCCTCCCTCCCTCCCTCCCTCCCTCTCTCTCTCTCTCTCTCTCTCTCTCTCTCTCTCTCTCTCTCTCTCTCTCTGATTCTCTCTCACCCTTCCTTGCTCAGCTCAGACAGGCTAAGATGATGCTTTTGGGCAACACACAATAAAATAACATAGAATAATAGGGAAAAATCCTGCTTATTAATTGGTGTGCTTTGCACATTGAAATCTCCATTTTATAGACCAAAAAAAACCTGAGACCCAACAAACCTAGATGAGAAGTCTCAAAAGGCTACATAGTAGGAAACGGTAGCTCTCTGCAGGGCCCACTGTGGTTCAAGTCTCTGCAGGGTCTCCCACAGACAACTGTGCTGAGGTGGTGAAAAGAATTGATGTCTCTGTCTACATTCATTTCTTGTTTCTCCTTGCCTGAGACAAACATATTAGAGTTGTTTTCTTTAATACTCTTCTGGGATCCCACTACCCCCCACAACTTAGATTTGTTGTTGTCCAGTGAAGGAGATACAGTCACATTATCCTGATGGTTCCTGCTCACCTCGCTCTCTCTGACGGTGGGTTCTGAAGGTAAGAAGAGGGGCTTCGGTTGATCTGCACATTGGCAACATTTCCTTTGTTCATAAAGATTTTGCCTGGTTTAAGATTCGCGTGTGCTATCTCAATGCTCTGAAAGTTCAAAATAAATAAATAGTCATAAGTTTATGCATCTTTGTGGAGCTTGATAAGCAATACAAACAGAAGCTCTTACTGCCAAACTCCGCTGTTTCTAATGTGCCCCCATTACAGTAAAGGCTGGAGAATCACAGGGCCAGTATCCTTCTGGAAGTAAACACAAATGGCCTTTGGGGTCAAAATAAGGGAAGGGCAATGGGTGAGGATGTTTGGTACTTATAAACCACACACCCTGAAAGATTTCCATCTCTTGGGTTCTGTGGACTGCTGGGTTATGAAAAATTTTGCATTTTTGGGCCAAAATGGGAGAGTTGACTCCTACTACTCTGGAACAAAATGTATTATCATACAAGTATTCAACTTTCCCCTCAACCCCATCACCTTCTTTGTTTTCAATCATTTATCTTAATACATTGCTAAACACAATATAAAAATACTGTAAAGAAAAGCTTGCCTTTGTCAGCTGAATCTCTGCATGAGGGCTTAATTTTGTGGATAAAAAAAGAGGACTAAACATGAAATGCAAATAATAATAATAATAATAATAATAATTAAAGAAAAACACTGACAAGAATCTCACACAAGTAATGATGGTAAGCTAGAAGACAACTAGAGAGGAGTAGAGAGTCCAAGTCAGGAATGGGAGAGGAATTGGGAGGAGGGACTGATGACAGATATGAGGAAGCAAAGAGAGGGAGAAAAGAGAGAAAAGAATAGGGTCATGGAGCAGTGTGTGTCAGTTGCTGAAAAGCCACGCTTAGAGGATTAAGAAATTGACTGCTAAAGGATATTTCTTTGCATCAATAGGATGCCCAATGGCCTTCAGATACCCTATCTTTTTGTTGTTGTTATTAATTCTGTGTACTAACTAACACAAATCATTAAAAATTACTGTGCTGTTTAGCCTATAGAAAAGTAATATATTTGCAACAAACCCAGGGAGGAGAAGATCTGCAGAAGGTTCTGTAGCTGAAAGGGATCCCTGGATGACAAAGCCCCAGATGCACATGTGGCCTTTCTGCATATTGGCCCCATCCCACAGAGACTCCTTTCCCTCCCTTTAAAAACCCTGCTGCAGCTGAGTCCCTAAGGTGTTCTCTCTCCTTTTGGGGGAGGAGATTGTAGCATCCTCCTCTCCACTTTTCCTCCCACTATCATTCCTGAGTATTAGTTTCTGAGCTGTAAAGAGACAGACCGGCCTCTGGTAACATCAGGAAAGACAAAGAAAGATAGGTGCCGAAACTGAGCTCAGACCCCCCCAGTCCTCCAGGGAATTTCTCTGTGATACACTAAACCAGTTCTGAAATATCTGTGAGAATGATAAACTGAAGCTAGCAGGGAGCTTCTTCACCTACCTTCACGATGCCAGACACGAAGTACTGAAAGGTTCGATTGCTGAACCCTTCGCTGGCTAATACAAAAAGAGTGTACTGGAAAAATCCTGCTGGACCCGAGTGTGTATGAGTGCCACTCAGGATAACGTTGTCTCTTCGATACAAGGAGCCATATTTACTCTCTAGTCTCTTCAGGACCTTGAAGGGAAGCAAAACACAGAACTAAGAATCCTGTGGTATCTCAGCAGGAAAGAGGGTTATGAAGAGCTGGTCTGACCCGCCCACTTCCCTTTCTGGTGGTCCGGCCCTCCAAGCCCTCATAATAACAAGTTCAATAATGCCAGGAGGCACTAACATTTTGTAGGGCCTTGCTATGTGCCAGCATAGCAGTGGCTAAATAATTTATGTACATTATATTATTTAAAATATTCATAACAGCCCCCAAAGTAGCTATCATCAACCTTGATTTTTCAACTGAGAACACTGATGTACAAAAATTAATCCAATAATCTAAGAAGTAGCAGGGACCAAACTCAAGGTCCATGTCTCTCTAACCAGAACTTTTATCTATTCTTCTTTCAAAATCTAGTATTTCTCACAGATAGAAACGCAGTAAGTGTGAACCTCAAAAGTGTTTTATTACAATGAAAGAGAAATACAGAAATAATTATGTACTATTATACCACACAGTGATGAACTCTATGCAGGAAAACATTGCTGGGTAAGGAAAATGGTACCTAGGAGTAAAGACGGGTGGGTCTTCCTGGAGAAAGGCTCTGTTGGGTAGGTGTTTAAATGGAAAAAAAAAAAGAAGCTGCTTTGTAACACAAATTAACAAGAGGCCCAGAGACTGATATCAGAGTTCAAACTTCAAGCTGAAGAACAGAAAAGCAAAGTAGCAAGCCACTAGCTCTTACCACTACTACATAGCATACTCAGGCTCTTACTACAGCCTGAGTATGCTAATCCATGCCCAAGCTCTTCACCAAGCCTCAAACTCCTGCCTCTCCTCAGTGTGGCTGGAGAACAAAAGCCCTATCTTCAGTGTGGCTGGAGAATGATTGCCTTCTACTGACTGCTGAAGACCCTGCTCCTATCTTTTACATCCCTCTTGTGCTAAGATTAAAGGTTTGTGATCTGTTGTTCTTTTAGACTGATTCGATCTCACATATCCCTGAATAGCCTTGAACTCAGAGAAATCCTTCTATCTCTTAATTCTGAGTCCTAGGATTAAAAGTGTGTACCACCACCTCATAGCTTCTAGCTGCTGCGATTAAAGATGAGTATCATCACTGCTTGGCTTCTATGGCTTGTGGCTGACTTTGCTTTCTGAATCCTCAGGCAAGCTTTAATAAATTATAAGTGATATGTCACCACACTGCTTATGCTATCTCCAAGGAAAGCATCCCAGATACGGAAAACCAACTCTGCAAAGACCTGGCAGCCTTATTTTACAAGGCTGTTCTCTGACACAGACTGCCACACTTGTTGGTTTACAGGAAAACACCTACTATGTGTGAGGTCACCCCAGAAATCTGGTGGAAGACTCACATAGGAAGGAACCATCCTGTCAACACTAATATGCTAGACACATGAGTGAGTAGCCCTGTCATTCATGGCTTTTTTTTCCCCTCAATATATGTTTTTATTTAAATTAGAAACATGCATGCTTCACATGTCAATCCCAGCTCCCTCTCCCATCCCTCCTCCCTTGTCCCTCCACCAGCCCTCCCAGCCCCCCCTCCCAACCCCCACATCATTCCCCAGGGAGGGTGAGGCCCTCCATGGGGGATCTCCAGAGTCTGTCATTTCATCCAGGGCAGGACCTAGGCCCTTCCCCATGTGTCCAGGCTGAGAGAGCATCCCTCCATGTGGAATGGACGCCCAGAGTTCATTCATACGCCACGGTAAACACTGATCTACTATCCAAGGCCCCATAGATTTCTGAAGCCTCCTCACTGATACTACATTCATGGAGTCTGGATCAGTCCTCTGTTGGCCTCTCAGCCATCAGTCTGTGGTTCAAGAGCTTCCCCTTGTCCAGTCAGCTGTCTTTGTGGGTTTCACCAGCACAGTCTTGACCCCTTTGTTCATCACTCCTCTATCTCTGCCACTGGGTTTCAGGAGTTCAGTTCAGTGTTTAGCTGTGGGTATCTGTCTCTACTTACATCAGTCACTGGATGAAAGTTCTAGGATGGCATATAAGGTAGTCATCAACCTTATCATCAAGGAGGGGCTATTAATGTAGTCTCTCCACTACTGCTTAGTTTGCCAGTTGGGATCAGGAGAGTGTCAGCCTACAATCCCAGTGCCAGTGAGTCTAGGAAACAGGGAGGTTCCCAGAGAAGTGGAATGAGGCAAGATCTCCTGAGCAGATTGGGAACATGGGGGGAGGGGAGAGGGAACCAGGAAAGAGAGAGGGAGAGAAGAAGGCATGGGGGAAGAGGAAGGTTGAGTCGAGGTAAGAATAGAGGAGAGCAGGATGAGAGATACCATAATAGATGGAGTCATTATAGGCTTGAGGAGAGAGCTGACACTAGTGAGATTTCCAGAGATCTACATTCAGAGCTTTTAAATACGCAGAAACCCACTGCAGTCAGTACTGCCTTGAGCCAATAGATTTTTGAACTTGAGCAGTAGATAAAGGAACTTTAGTAAATGTTGGTTACATTAGTCATTCAATGAACATACACATATAGATATGTAAATACACATACATACACACATATGCACATGTGCATGCACATGCACACACAACACACAGAGACATCAAGAAAATACAGAAAAAAATAGTAATGTTGCTGAGTAGCTAATTATGATTCTGCTTAATCACCTACAATCTGACATTCGCTATTACTGTTACTTTTCTGTGGCATTTCATTAAGATGATACCACAAAGCTGTCAATCATTGCTGGGTTGCCTCATCCAGCCTCAACAGGAGACAAGGTGTCTAGTCTTGCTGCAACTTGATTTCCCATGACTGGCTGATATGTCTGGAAGGCCTGAACTTTTCTGAAGGAAAGAGAGGAGTGAATGGGGGGGGGGGCTATTGGGGAGGGACTGGGAGGAGAGGAAAGAGAGGAAACTGTAATTGAGCTGTAGAAAAAAAAGCAATTAATTGATTAATTAATAATAAATTTTAAAGAAGGAATAATAAATTTTTAAAGAGTATTAGTCACATAGCAACCATTAGCAGTGCCTCTCATGAGTTAGTGCCATCCAATTTTAGCATACCATTGGTCTAATAGGGTAGGAACTGATATGCTATGATATATTTAGCCTGCAAAGATAATCAGTTTATTCTCTTCTACTTCTTTAACTATGGAGCTCTATCAGTCTTGTTTCAATTTTGTGGTCACTGAAGCAAAACAGAAGGCATGTAAAGTATTTTGCCTCACTAACGTATCACTGCCTCCCAAGATTACCATGTGTGATGGCTGATTTTAATGTCAACTTGCCACAAATTTGAATTGCCTAGATAGAGGGCTGAAGAGATGGTTCAGTGGTTAAGAGCACTTGCTACTCTTGCAGAGGACCCTGGTTCAGGTCCCAGCACCCACATGGCTGCTCATAACTGTCTATAACTCCAGTTCCAGGAGAGCTTATGCCCTCTTCTGGCCTTTGTAGGTACTGCATACATATGGTACACATACACACATACAGGTAAACACTCATTCATATGAAATAAAATAAATCTAAAAAAGAAGGAGGAGAAGAAGAAATAATTACCTGAGGGATCCTCAATTGAGGGATTGTCTTAATTTCCTTAATTTATATGGGAAGAGCTACAGTAAATGTGAGCAGGACCTTTGGATAGCAGCCCAGATGGGAAATTTTCACCTTTTACTTTCACTGCTGAATTAATTTACCCTGTTTGCTGCTGCTACAGATTCCTCTGTTGATGTTAAAACCCATGTTTCCAGGCTTCCGCCATTGACTGAGGACTAGTGGCTCTCCCAGAACTGTACAGGACTCCAGTAACAGAGTGAGACTGCTGATCCTACCAGGTTCTCAGCCCCTCTAGCTTGAGACAGCTATTGTGGGACTGGCTCCTTCCACTGCTGAGGCAGTCTGCCTCAGGGACCCGGTGATCACCAGGTTCTCAGCCTCTCGGCTGTGAGTCAGCTGTTTTTACTGTTTCAAAGGAAGATGATTTAGCAATATGGTTTTTTTTTATTTTCCATCCTATCAGTTTTGTTCCTCTAGAGAACCCTAACAAATATGCCGTATTCACCTCAACTGTGCTGTGGAAAGAGAATGGCAAGTCATAGTGAACAAACTTCTGACCAAGTAGCCTTCAGCTCCATCCCAGCAAATTTCTGTGTCTCTTTTGTTTGACTTTAACTCTAGTTCAGAGGACCTATCCCTCCCATGCATTCCTTTAGGCAGTAGCTACCACACTCATTGAGAAGAAAACGTTGTCAGAAGGGAAGATGATCAATGAATGACCACCATGGAGCAGAGTTAAAGCCAAAGGCCGATGTTCTCACAGTTCTCCACAAGGACAAGAAACTGGGAGAAGATGAAGAGTTTAAAGCTCCGCACGTCATCCATGTCCTCCCTAATAAACTTTAACTTAGAAGCTGTAGAACTAAATGCATTCCTTGATGCTAAGTCGAATTGGGCTCTTAAGAAAGATAGCAATCATGAAACTTGGATTTTAGAACAATGGAAAGCTCACAGATGTCTTAAACCACAGCCTCTGACAGGGAGTTAAGGTGAAAGAAATTAAATACTGACACACTAGCCATGCCTGCAAATAACTGCTATAGACAGCTGTGTTCTGCTTTCAAGAAAGGAAGGCTGTGTTTGCCCAGAACAAAGCAGCTACAGTCCTGTCTGTTGCTCGCTTCTTTGTCTTCCCTTTCTATTCCGTTCTGCTGCTAGCACTCTTGGGAACATGATCAAAATAGAGAGAAAGGCATCCTGTTTTCCTGTCCCACCTCGCTGTTTACATATCGTCCCTATCTTCATTCCACAGTCTTAGAGCTGAGGAGACCTGACTAAAACCCCATATCATAAATCTGCTTAATTTGTATACTTGACCGTGTTACTTTTCTTCTCCCTTTCCTTGGACTTGTGAAACTGAGTGTATTGGTATAAAAGCCTTCCCCCAGGGCCTCAGGTTGCAAGGAGAGCAAAAGCAGAAAGAGGCAGTTAAACCAAGGCCACTATTGACCTAAGAGCATTTAGAATCCCACCCACCATCTCTCTGAACTTCTTCATCCATCTCCAGGGTCTACCTTTTGGTCAGGACTCTACCATTGCCAATTGTAGGCATCTCTGATTCCTCAGACAAGCAGTGTGGTACAGTAGTAATGAGCTCAGCCTGTGGCATGGGAATGCCTAGCTCTAACAATTCCTCACCATGCAACCTTGGGTAAGCTACTTTAGCCTCTGTAATGTGGTTTCTCTGTCTTTCTAATCTCGTAATAATAATACCTCCTTTAAAGAGTTGGAGGGATGTTAATACCTATGGATTCTTCTGAACGTACCTGGCTCATCATGAGAGATAGGTTAGAGTTTATCCCATTTAGTCCCACATGTCCCGGTATTTATCTTCACATCCTACCACCTTGTAGTCTCACTCTCATGCCATGGGATTAAGATCAGTCTCAAATGATAGAGAGAAAATTGCCAGGAAGAGACTAACAACCCTTCCCAAAGCCCTAACTTCCCTTTTAGCTGTCTAACACCTTCTAAAACTCCATAGCATTAAACATTTTCTGTTTGACATACCTAGTATAACTACTTTTTTCCCACCTGGACTCTCATCAATTGAGTCTCCATGTTAAAGAATCTACCAATCTATGACTTTCCCTCTAGTTCCACTTTATTCCAATCCAAAGGAAATATCACTGTCTAATTAAACATCCTATTGACATAAACTCTATTGACATTACTCTACCCAAGTATTTCCTAAGATTCCACATTACCCACATTAATTAAAATCAATCTAACATTCCAGACTCTCTATAGTTATGACCAATGAACAATCTAGGTACATCTCTACATATATTACTCCATATTTTCTATGGATTTCTTCTGTTCCCTCCAAAAGATGACTATATCCCTCCTTCACAACTCTTCAATTATTCTTTCCCTTACATTTGGTCTCTCCCTATTCTAGTCTGTCTGCTGTTGAGCTGTTGCTATGATAAAACACAGTGACCAAAAGTAACTTGTGGAGGAAGAAACAGTTTTTTTGATTTTGTTTTTGTTTTAGCTTATAGTTGTACTCCATTATCAAAGGGAAGCTGGAGGAAGAACTCAAGGCAGGAACCTGAAGGCAAGAACAGAAGCAGAGGCCATAGAAGAACACTGTTTACTGGCTTGTTCTCCCCTCCCCCACAGCTTACTTGGTCTGTTATTATAACACAGGACCGTCTACCCAGAGATGGTGCTGCCCACGGTAGGCTGCCTCCACCTCATCAATCATTAATCTAGAAAATGCTCCCACAAATTTGAGGACCAATCAGATGAAGACAGTTCCTCACTTCAGGTCCCCTCTTTCCAGATAACCCAAGCTAATGTCCAATTGACAAAAATCCAACCAACACACTCCCTCTGCAATTTAACCATTTAGAATTCTGCACACTCAAGTATTACTTCTACTATGAAAACCGTTTCCTGATTCTCATTTCCCTTATCCGCGTCTCCTTGTGAGAGTCTTAAAAGACCGCAGCCATGAATTCTTTCATGCTTCCTCCTTCAAAAAGGGAAGCCTATCTGAGCATGGTGGAAAGGGTCTATAATGCCAGAATTTGGGGGATGGGGCAGAAGGCAGCATGTGGCAGGAGGCGGCAAGTATGAGCTGAATAGTCCTAAGCGATATAGTGAGACCCCCACCCCGAAACAAAACAAAACATAGTACTAAAGCTTATTTTCCTAACTGTAAGTGTGGCTAGACTTGGTTAATGAACAGAACTGAGTAATTGTGTGTAACGGCTGAAAATGGGCCAGAAAACCAGTCTTCCACCTTGAAAGAACTCATGAGGGTTGGAGTGGAGGCCCGAAGCTTCCTGCCAACAAGTACATTAGTGAAGCCCATCATGCACATGGATCTTGTCACCTCCATCAAGCCTCCACATATCTGTTCTTTGCCATCCTCATAATTGCAAGAGGCTCCAAGCCATAATTATGTAGCTAAGCTAGCCCTGAGTTCCAGTTCCATAGAGCAAGTAAGATAGTAAATACTTATTGTTTTAGGCCACTGTGTTTTGGATAAGATATTGTATAGAAATACATAACCACTAGAGAATTATACTCAGTGATTATGGTTATCTGTATGCTTCTGTTACAGTCTTTTCCTCCTAAGACTCAACTAAATGGTGGCCATACAGGGGACATGGACTGTGGCTCCTTTAGTTGTGTCCTTTGTAAATACTAGCAAAATACATTAAAGCAAGTGGGTGACTGGGGCAATTTTCTCTCTAGGAGAATGATGTCTTTCTTAGTTGAATGGAGTACTTGTACAGTATACAGAATTTCTGTGTTCAACCCCCAGAACCACATAAACCAACCACAAGTAATCCTGGCACTCAGGATGTAGAGGCAGAAAAATCATAAGTTCAAAGTTATCCTTAGCTATACTGTGACTTTGTGACCCATACCAGCTACACAAGGTTCTGTCTCAGATAAAAGACCTGGGGTTAATGTCTCTTTTAAGAGTGCAGCTTTTTCATAACCCACCTCTGCCATTTGCCAATAACTGCCTTAATTTCTTTAAAATTCTATCTGGGGATAACAGCAGAGCCAACTCAGAGTTTTATTGTTAATGTAGGAGGGAGGAAAATACTTAACTCCCTCCTCCTGTCTGCACATGGAAGAGGCTTCCACTACATTACCAATAGTGACAGTATCAGATGGTGCCTGTAGGCTGTGTCATCATAGCCCATTCCACACAGCACAGCAACAGAGCACTGACCAAGAGAAAGTGACAGAGTGCAAGTCTGTATGATTGACACCTGGTCACGGCCATGGTCAGCATTATACCTCTCACTCTCTTTCTCATGCCTGTGAATCTGTGCGCACAGTCCCAGGTCATAGTCACTACTGGAACTGAACCTGCACAGAAAAGTAGCTCTGGGCCATAGAAAAGTAGCTTTGAAACTGGCTCAGGAGACTGACAAGAGACCCGTGACTGCCGTTGGATTCTCCCCTCCTTCCTCTCCTGCCTGGCATCCTCTCTCCTCTTCTTTCCTCTTCTTTCTCTGCTCCTTGAGGACTCTTTAGATGCCTCTCTGCGAACCTCAACTGTCTACACAGGTAAGTAACAAGCTCCAAATCCAGGGGGAAATCAAACAAAATTCTACCACATCTTACAATAGTTTAAGGATTAAGATTCTTTAAACCACCAAAGCAATTTCCCAACTCATCCAACGATAACCAGACTGGTGTGACAACCCCTCCATGTGACCATCACCTATTTTCTTCCATTACCAGTCAGCAGTCAACCTCGTTGCAAAGCTGAGTTTCAGTCCACAACTGATTCCTTACGTGTTGTGTGAGAACTCGGGGAAGAGGTTAGTGACCCATTGGTGCTCTGAGATACCTGACAAGGATGACTAAGTGAGAATCCATGTGAATGTGAGTGGTGCATAACAAGCTTTCAGAGAACATTTGCATTCATATCAATGATGAGCCGCCAGCACAACTGAAAACAAGTTTTGAAAAGAAGCACTTAGACTGCAATAATGAAGGGCATCTGCCTATACAATTGTTTGTGTCACTGTTAAGACCTTACATTGAAGGTAGGAGATACTCTTTAGTTAAGAAGGCAAGCATGAGGAGTTCCCATTGTGGGCACCCACAGGCTGCTTTCCAGCCCCCCATTTCATCACTCACCTCCAGCCTGAGTCGTTGGGAAATCATGCATAGTTCAACACTGACAAACGCCATGCGATTTGACCCATCTGGATCCACAAAGATGAAAGCGCGACTGTACAGCCTGGTGAGGAGGCCCCGTGCATTCTGGCCACTTTTGCCATAGCCCATCTAAAAAAACAGAGAAAGACGCTGAAGTTCTCCAGGAGCCAAGCACCATAACACCAGAAGAGACCGCTCAGGCGCACAAAGAGAAAATCACCATGACTCTGGTTTGGTGAGATGGTGTGTGTGTGTGTGTGTGTGTGTGTGTGTGTGTGTGTGTGTGTGTGTGTGTGATCAGACTGGCAGGCCTTCTCTGTGAGGAGTGAGCACGTGACTGCACCCTCAGGACTTTCCAAACCTTTGGTGGGAAGCTTTCTTCTAAGGTTTTATAAGGAAGGCAGTTTTCCCCTCCTCCACCCTCACTCAGCTTCTTTCCAGTTCATTCTCTAGACTAAGCCAAGTAAGACAGGCACTCTATGATCCTCCTCTCACCGTCTCATTAAAGCCACCCTTTAAAACTGCACCAGGTCTTCCAATGGCCACCTCTACTCTTTGCCTTCCCATTCGTGAGAGGGTGTTCACTTAGGGTTCACGGTTCAGGGTTACTCTCAGAATAGACAGCTGGGTGTAATCCATAGAATATAAAGAGTATTTGCTAGGGAGTGCAACTTCCAGCAAACAACTTCTTGCTCTTGTTTCCAAGGCAAGCTGTGAGGTGAGTGGGTATTTCCATCATTGGTATACTGCAGGCAATAAGCTGCCTCAAACTCAAGGAAGTGCTTGATACTGGCCCATCTTCCATTTATAGTTTTAACTGTCTTTGTCTATGCTGGCATAGTGGCCCATGCCTTCAATTCCAACACTTAGGTGGCAAAGGCAGGTGGATCTGTATGAGTTCAAGGCCAGTCTGGTCTACATAGTGAGTTCCGGGCCACGGAGATGTCTGGGCACAGTTGCTGACTAGGGCCACGTTTGGATCTATGGGCCTGCAGAGGCCAGGGTCTGTGGCATTGTTCATGGTTTCAATTGCCACTAAGGACTTTGTGGATGCCCAGGATCTGGTCAGTAACCTGGGACCATGTTAATGCCCAGGCGTCATGGTGCTGCCTGGGCTATGCTTATCTGAGGGGTCTGTGCTGCCACAGGGGCCATTGTGGCATCTGGACCTAGAGCCACATCTGGGTCCATGGCTCTGTTGCAACTGGGTTCTATGGTGATATCCATGGCCTGTGGTAGCATGGTGGTCAATGAAACAACGCTGTGCTGAGCCAGCCTGACCCATTACTGGTCCTGGAATGGCTGATTCTGCCCCTCACTGGATATTGCCACAGGTGAGCTGGCCCTACCCCTCAAGGGAGAGCAACCATCCCTCATCCCAACCCTCTAACCCCCACTGGAAAGATGGCCCCATCCCACAACATAGGTGTGCACCTCATCTGGGTAGCATGCTAGAGCTGACCCTGTGGTCATGGACACAGGTTTGCCATCCCTAAGGACATGGAAGCAGGGGAGCTGAACCAGCTCCCTCTAGTCTGTCATTTGGTGGCATGGGTGATGAAAATATGCCCTACCCCCTACCCATTACCACCTGCAGCAGGTGGGAGAGCTTGCCCTGGGGTCACAGGAGTGGGAGAGCTAGCCCTGACCCTCTCTGGCTACAGTGCATGAGAAAGTTGCCTCTGCTTCTTGTCTGGCAGCACACTAGAGCTGACCCTGTTGTTCAGGGTCCCAGGTAAGCCAACCCTGAGGGCACTGAGAGCAGGAGAGCTGATCCCACCCCCACACACACACACATACCTCTTATGCCCCTTGCAGCAATCAGCACCTTGCCTAGGCAAAACAGTGAGCTGGACCTGGTGATGTGAGTGAGGGGCTCCTGGATCTGAGGGCTCAGAGAAGTGGAACTGGCCTTGCTCCTTGCTGTAGGCTGCATTGGGTGAGCTAGCCTGGGCAGTGATGGAGAGTTCGTCCAGGTAGTGACAATGAGGGAAAGCTACAGAGCTGGCCAACCCAGTTACCACCCAGGCCCAGAACCAGGGCTGTGAGTTAGCCCAGCCCAACATCCATGTCATCTATGAGCTGTTGGAGCATGGAAGGGGACGAACCTACAGATCCAAAGCTGCAGGATCTCCATGACACAGGACAGCAACAGGTTACCCAGTGAGAACCTATTATTGGTGGTGTAGCAGAAACCAGACGCCTCAAGTCAGACCAATGACTCTTGGTAATGAGCACTTGCAAGTAAAGACGAACAGACTAAAGGGTAAACTGTGTCTCAACAGGCCACACCACAGTTTCCACAAGATTCTTCTGTTTTGTTTTGTTTGATTTGGTTTGGATTCTTTGTTTTGTTTTGTTTTGTTTTTCTTTTAAATTTGGTCTTGTTGTGGGGGAGGTTGCAAGGGCAGAGGGCAGATGCCAAAGAACAGGGAGACAAGTGGGGTTGGAATACATGATGTGAAATTCACAAAGAATCAATAAAAATAAAGGAAAAAAAAGGACTTGTAACTGAACTTTAAAAATTGGTTTTCCTTATAGGATAATATTCTTAGTGCTGGATAGCAGCAACATCAACACAAAAGTTAGAAATTATTATGTAATAATCCAGAATGAAGGATACAAAATAATAAAATTATGTATTTCATATCCTATTTAGGGAGACCAGACATTTACCTACCAAATTGATATCTGATACTTGTCCTGTGGAATCAGCTCGCCCAACACCAATGTAGTAGCCACTGAAGTTCTGAAATGGAGGAGGGTCTGGGGGTTGTGTAATTGGAGAAGTCTGGGTGGTTGTGGGGTCCTGGGTGGTTGAAGACCCATGATTTCCAGAATCTAAAAACAGAACACGATATTTCAGAAGCAACACTTTACCCCACTTATTCCCTGGCAGCAATTAGGAGGCACAGTTTCAAATTCCTAAGAAAAGCTTTTAATATTGTCTCTCATTTTTAGTTTTCTTTGCTTTTGAATTGGTTTGTTTATTTCTTAAGACAGTGTATCATTATGTAATTCAAGGAGGCTTTGAACTCAAAGATCTTCCTGTCTTTGCCTTCTATAGGCTGGGATTATAGCTGTGTGTCACCACGCCCAGTGTTATACATTTGCCTATATATAAAATAGAAAGTGAGAAATGGGAGCCTGTATGAAATCACAAATCAAAGAACTAGCTTAGTCTTGGACTAGTGATGTTTCAGAATAAGCAAGGCCTTGGCAAATGCCTTCTGCCTTCAACTTGTTACCAGCATGTCCTTGTCACCTCATCCTCTTCACTTCCCTGCTTCTCTACCCTAGTCAAGCCAACGGAGAAGCTACTGCTCCTCGGCCTTATGAGTCCATGCCCTGAGTTGACTTCCTTCTCCCTTCTCTCCAGACTTCCCACTGCTCTCCTCTCCACCGAACACTCTCCACCACAGCTTAAGAGCTGATCCATCTCCATCACTCCTACATCCAGCCTAGTTCCTCATCAAAGACAGCAGCCAATTGGTTCTTTTATTAATGCAGCTTAAATCATTGTATACCTGGTGACATAACTCCACCGCAATTTGATTATTCTAATATATGTATGTGTGTGCATTAACAAAGATATATTCCATACCAAATATGTGTGTCTGTAACATACAAACACATATGAATATCAGGGGAGGCAAAATGATATAGAGATTAAAAGGCAAGTACCAGAGACAAACTTCCTGGTTTAAAATCTAATTCTACCAATGATTAGCCAAACAGATCACATAATCTAATTCTCTCTGAGTTTCTCATCTATAGCAAGAAGAGGTTAATGTGCTTTCTGGTATAGCTTTGTACAATAACTTTATAACTACACATTAAAGAGTTAAGCTAGTCATGCTGTCTAACTTTAATTTTCTTTCCAGCTGGACATGTTTTTCTACTGCCAGACAGTAGCCAGCAGTCAACACAGCATCAAGTATCATTGTCACAGGTGCTGGTGGTAAGAACAAGTTAGAGAAGAGACTGATGTCTGGCTTCTGAGATTCCAGAACTTGGGAACTAAGGTGTAACTGACCTAGCCCGATGGCAATGCTCCTCAGAGATGCTTTTGTCCTTCCCTGTGGCTATTAGCTACTAAACAATGGATCCTAAGACACTGGAATTTCCCTAGAAATGTCATGATTTAAAGAGGAAATGTACGGGAATGTGGTGCCAGTCGGGTGGGACAGGAGCTTATCTGCTAGAATGAGATCTCACACTGTCCTGACAACTTGTCAAAGTACCTTCCAGGAGAGATGAACTGAGACCAGGACATGAAACCAAGCAGTCCCACTTACCACTCTCCTTCTATTTCAAACTAAAACTCATATCAGGTAGACTTGGGATGGAGGAGTCACTGACCCTCTTTTTTTCCTCTCTCCACTGTGACCATATTGAATAAATCCTTTTATGCTCTTTAATGTGACTTTGTTTGTCTCTTTAATTGGCCCATAAAGGCTGAATAGCCAAGTATAGCTTGATAATGTTTTCAGGGCCCAGACTCGGACCCTCCCTACTCTGGTAATATAATCTCCTCAAGTTTATAAACAAGATCGCTTCTCTGCCTTTTGGCTAAGATCAAGTGAAGTTTATAAACAAGAACCCTGAAACTTGGAGAAGTGACATAACCAAGACTTCATAAATAACATGTGACAAATCTGGTACCCACATAGCCTCAAATCAGATTCTGATATTCCTGCAACTGCATCCAGGGTTACAAACACACATGTTTCCTGTACAGCATCGGATATTACAAGAAGAAAAGCATTATTATTTCTTTTGCTGCATTGCTACTAACATCAAAATATGATATAAAACCTAAGGCCAAGCCTCATGTGGACGGCAAGCTCTTTGCGATCTTGGTGTTTCAATGTGTAAAATGGTATCAATACTAGAACTTCATAAGAATTTTGTGAAAATTAGATGAAAAAATTAAATTGATTTCTCATTAAACTGCACCACGAAACCACCACACCACATACACACACACACACACACTAAATAAGTAATAAATAACAAATAGCCATTCCTATGAAAATATACTGTGGCTTCTATAACCTCTTGAGTCTACATCTTACTCTCCAATTTTAGGAGCTATATTAAATGAGCAATAATAAGTCCTAAGGACTATTTCACTTCTAGTAGTCCAAGAGTCTACTTTGCCCGCCACTGCAACAGAGAACCCTTCCTCCTTTGTGTTTGCAGAGAATTTACAGCACCGAGACATGGCAAGGGACTGGAAAAAAGAGAAGGCTACAAATGGGAATGCTGGAGAAAACTAATAGCTCCTTTGCCACTTTACCTGAGGCCAGTACTCACTCACTCTCTCTCTCTCTGTCTCTCTCTGTCTCTCTCTCTCTGTCTCTCTCTCTTTTTCTCTCTCTCTCTGTCTCTCTCTCTCTCTCTCTCTCTCTCTCTCTGTCTCTCTCTTATTTGATCCAAATATTCAGCCCTCATCTATCTTCTCTATTGAGTTCACAACCATGTATCTTTATCTTTGCCCTTGTAATAGGGGCTCCATCAATGACCCAATGATAATATTACCTAGAAAGGTAGCCTACAACACATTCAGAAACCAAACTTGCTTCCAGCATCACAACAAGAACTCCAGGCAATATCTAAATGGCACAATTTCTATCTCCTCTCAAAAACTTAGGTGAGTTAAGATGATATGATATGGCCGGGCGGTGGTGGCGCACGCCTTTAATCCCAGCACTCAGGAGGCAGAGGCAGGCGGATCTCTGTGAGTTCGAGGCCAGGCTGGACCGACAGCCTCCAAAGCAATACAGAGAAACCCTGTCTGGTAAAAACCAAAATAAAGATATCATATCATCATAAAGTGTACCTTGTTTACAGAACAACTGGCCCTTGTAAGGATTGAGGTTGAAAACCTGCCTTTAACCATTTTAGGGGGTTGGTTTGACTGATTTGCATTGTTTTCTTTGCTCCCAGTAGAAGAGTATGCCAACCAACAGGCAGATAGAGATTGAAGGCCTAGCAGCAAAAGGTGAACTTACTAGACTTACAAGAACCTTGAACTCTGAGTACATCAACAGAAAACCTAAGAGGACATGTGTATCTATTTGTTATCTGACTATTTGTGGACAAAGGTAAATGTGATAAAAGCTGCTATCATTGCAGAAACCACAAGCAGTGCAGTGGGAGACACATCTCACAGACAGCTGAAGCAGAAAGACATCATTTCTCATCTTGGTGCTGCCCACCAATCAACAAATATCCTACAGGCCCTGGGATGACATCCGGAAGAACCCAAGACACTTACCTTTGTTGTTTTCAATGGTCCCACTGGTGACGAACAGGAGGGTGAGAAGGGCCACTGTGATGACTGTCATCATTACCAGAAGGAAAATGAGGAATGCCTCCAAGGTGGAGAAGGTGCGCTTTGCCATTTCTCCTAAGACCAAACAGAGATGGAACAAGAATCACAGGAGGGAAAGAAACCACAGATTAATAGGCACACGTTTCAAGCTGCCCAAGACTACCTGATCATAGCCCTTCCATTTCAGTGGACTATGCCAAGATGGCAAACATAGAACACACCTCTGGCTCCATGTCCCAAGTCCTTGGAAACCAAGACCAATACTCTTTTGAAAAGCCTGGCTATGGTTTCCAAATCTTTCTCAGCACTACGATCTTCTTGACAACCACTCCTATGATTTGACATTGACATCTGAAGAAAATCATACCATACCATACCTCATTTGTTTGTGGCAATGGTACCATTTATGGGTTTATACTCAAGTCTGGGCCATACTTCTGTCCATAGTGTGACTGATATGCAAAAACACACTTCCTTTCTTACTGTCTCGTCTTTCTCTCTCTCTCTTTCCCTCTCTCTCTCTCTCTCTCTCTCTCTCTCTCTATCTATCTATCTATCTATCTATCTCATCCTCTCTCTCTCTGTCATGTCTGTTTCCCCCTTTTTGGTATCGCTATTATAAACTACAGTTAAGTGCCCTCCATGGCTTGTGCTCCATCCATCACGCCAGTCCTGGTTCCATAATTGACAACACATGGTGCCAAAACTCTACAGGTTTTTCGGTATCTCCTCCTGCTTTGACTGAGATGCCAACAACCTATAAACTTCAACTCGGTCGCTTTTCCAACTAAGGATCTCTGGATTCTTCCATCCACCATCACCATGTCCTGTCTAAGAGACACCAGAGTTCCATACTGCCTGGACTATGATGGAGCAATCAGCTACCCTGGATGTGACAACACCCCAGCTTTCTCAAGTCCCCCAAAGATGGTTGACACCTTCAGGAGCATGACGAACTACTACATCTTCACACACTCTGCTTTAGAAGTAACAGACTGAAAACCAGCACGTCCCAAACTCTCCCTGGAGCATCTATCCTCTCTTTGAACAAGAACTAGTTGCCATTTCTGAAGGAATTTTAAATAAAAGAAAAACAATGCTTATCCTCCCAAAAGAAAACAAAAAACAAAACAAAACAAAACAACAACAACAACAAAAAAAACTGCTCATCTTGTCCAGATGGAGATAAAACCCAATGAATTACTGTTGAAACTCTGACATCACCTTCACTTAATTCCTGATACAGAAATGTAGATTGGTAACTCAAGCCAAGAATGAGTGAAAAATCTCTCTCGGTGATCAAAAGAGATGTCACATAGCTTGCAACTCCTGTGTTCCAGACAAGTTACTACTTTATCATTTCCCTTTCAATATTTTGAAAGAATTTATCATCACCCAAGGTGACTTTCAGGAGTGAGAATCCTCTACAATATAATAAGAAGAAATACAACTTGGTGTTCTAAAATGAATTTCTGAAGTCTAACTCCCAAGTTGAGGTCTCTTACTTTCCCCTTAGAGGGAAACCTTAGATACATAACCACAGATATACAGTGATCATCTTAGTATCCATGCTACAAAATTCCAAAAAATGAGATGCGATGCTGTCTGTATTACCTCTTTTGTCCCCTGAGGAGGAATGAAGTGCTCAAATAATAGTCTTTATCAATATGTTTCAAAACAGCTAAAACTGTACTACTCTTGGGGTTTAATGCTAAAGGTTATTACAAACCCAGGTGAGATTTTCTTTTAAGAGTAATTCTTCATTAAAAATTTTGGGGTTTGATTTATTTATCTTATATGTGTGAGTGTTTTGTCAGCATGTTTGTATGTGTAACACATTTTGGGATTTGATTCATTTATTTTATATATGTGAGTGTTTTGCCAGCATGTTTGTATGTGTAACACATGTGCACCTGGTTCCCAAGGAGGTCAGAAGTCAATTCCTCAGAAGGGGAGTTTAGGATGGCTGTGAACCACCATGTGGGTGCTAGAAACCCAATTAAGGGATTCTGCAAAAACAACAAGCACTCTTAATCACCGAGCCATCTCCAGCAGGAACCTGTTTTCTTAACCTGTGCTTTAGGAAACTCAAGCAGTCATATGGGATTGAACTCTCAACACTTGACCTCCAAATTAGTTTCTGGCTAAGACACTTATCATCTAAGAGTTTCTCTTGATGACAAGAGATAGATGCATTCAATGAAGCCTAGACAAGGCTTTGATTTGATTTATTCTAGATGATAAGCTAGTTAATATCATTGTCAGATTCTGTTAAGATAGAATTTACACCTATAAATACCAAAGTTGGCATTTTACCCAAATGTGGTTTCCAAAATATGGCAGCAACTGCTGCCTTTATGTGTGCCAAGTATTCTCTCGCTGCTAATCCCTGCCCAAGGGCCTAATCCATCGAAATTACTTCCTGGTTTCTTTAAGAGTAGATTTTGTGATCCTTAAGTTTAGAGGTAAAAAATCAATTTAAAAGCAGCATCTGGATTGGATAGAGCTGGGAAAGAACAGAAAGACAGGAACACATCTTATTATTGGGAAGTTGTTCTCTCCTTCTTTTACTGTGGCTATGGTCACCCTCAACACCAATGGCAGGGCCACCTCAGTTCTAGGGCAAGACTAATTAGGTCTATGCCTTGGTCCCAAGCCCCTTTATCAGTCTCAAGAATCAGAAAACACATCTAAGACATACCTCTGGACCTCTGAACTTAAGGAGACTCACCAATCACCAGCTGCTGTTTCAGTGGCAAACTTTAAGCCCATTATACTTAATACTTGCTTAAAGCTTTTTTTTAAAAAAAGTATAATGAATATTTAATATATATAAGTAATATATAATAAGTGACAATATATTATTTATTATACATCTAACATAATATAAATAATATATTTATGATATATAGGTATATAATATAAATAAAATAAATATAAAAATTTAAATAGCTTTTTTAAAGTTATTTCTAGGTGCTTTCTGAGCCAAGATGAGGAACAACTGGGCATCTCAACCCTAGAGCATCAAAATGAAATTGTATATACAAATGTGGTTACAGTTTGTCTATGAAACACAGATACCATGTGTATGTTTGTGTTTATGTGTGTGTTGCCTAGTTTTACACTATCAGCCTTCTCTACCAAGCAAGAACTTCCTTGATTTATGCTCTTACTTGGTCCAGAATGATCTACCAACTGTGCTTTGCCACTCTATTTATCTACCAAGAATGCTGCTAATATATTATCATTCTTTTCAAACTACTTCAGCTGACTTTACCACCCTCTTTCAGGAAATCAAAATTTGTATTAGCACTGTATGTTACTGGCACTGATTAATAAAATCTGAGATCCAACATTAAGGAAGATGTCTTGTCTGTCTTCAGAATGCAAATATGCCATAAGGCACTGCACCTCACACTGTCTTAAATGATTCTAGGTTTCAAGATGGCTCTCTTGATCATTCAGAATCCAGCAAGGCTAGCTGTCTGTCACATCTTTGCAACCCAAAGATCTGCTTTTCAAGGAGACAATTATGAAAACAATTAACAAGTAAACACAAATAAACTTCCCAAACTATGAAAGTGGGGAAAAACTTCCAGACTTTACCCAGGCCTTAGATAATAAGATGAGCTATGATTCCTTTTCCATCTCTCTCTCTATAAAAAAAAAAGTCATTCTTACCCGAGTCTGTGAATCAAAACAGGGTTCACCTCCCAGGAGAGCAAATGTCCATTCAGAATCTTGTTCCTTGTCCCTGCAGATTGTGAGGCTGATTTCTCGGTGTGTCTTCAAATCTACTGAGGAAAGATTCCATAGGCAAGTCTGGGAGCCTTGAAGTTCTCATTAGCATACCTGCGGCCTGGGCAGAAGGATGTGACTAAAGTACATTGATTAAAGAGAGCTTACACGCACACTCTCCTGAACCTGCCTGCTTCTGGAGGCAGACACCGCAGCAGGCCTGTTAGACCGAAGGTCATTTTAATCTTAATGCAACTCTTCCAGTATGACAAGTTCTGGGGCAGCCCTGTAACCCACATCGTTAAAAATATTTATCTGCTGTATTTATCCAGCCTGTGATCCAGAAGAAAATGAATGTTGCTGGACATGGGTGTGGGCTATAGGAATCCCTGAGTGATATTTATACCCCTTTCAAAATAAAGCAGGGATTTTAATTTGTAGGTTTCTGGGCCCTTGAAGTAAAATGTAAAGTCCAAATTGCATAAGATTTATAAATAATATAGATATTCAAAATTATATTGGAAGCAAGGCACAGTACTGCATACCAAGCTTTAGAAACCAGTCTGAGATATGTTGCAAGATCCTATCTTAAAATAGTGACCACAATGATAAGTATTATATAACAAATGGACTGAGAGGTTTCAGTGGCATGAATAACATCACCAAATATTAAGTTGTTTCAAGTTTGCAAACGTGCATTATAAAGATCAAACAGACATAAGAACACATAGCAAAGCAGAAGTGATTATCTGGTGATTAAGATAGTTTCTTTTCAATTTTTTATCTCTTGGTGGTTTCTGTAGCAGCCTTGTATCTTATATGCAAGCTAAGCAATGACCTACAAAAGCCAAGTAGAGCAGAAATAGGCTCACCCTGCTGCTTGGTTCCCCTTTACTCCTAGTAAATTTAGGTCTAGGAAGTAGCTTGTAGGTTTCCTAATCCTTTGTGGAGTTAGAAAAGACAGTGGTCTCTAGAATTACAAGTAAATGCCTTTGACAGATCATTAAGTGATGTATCCTAATGCTGTTCTACTACTGCAAAGGGGAAGAGTTTAAGACATGACAGCCAATGAGGGTTTTTTTTTCTTAATTGGCACATTTAGGTTAAAACTCTTAAAGGTAATAGATGTGGCTAATCCAAGACAGCAGGAAGAGAGGGAGGAGAGATGTGACTTCTCAGGAGGAATGGCTCTGCACATGTCACAGTAGGGGCTCCAGAACCATCTTGGCAGAGCATTGCCATTGAGACATGTGCTTTCTAGTGACTTTAGAGCACTATGCTCTTTCCTTGGTATTTGAGTCCTGAAAGATGACATCTAACTGGTTCAGCATGGATCATATTCTTAGGGGTATGTGCCCCCCCATATGGGGCTTTCTGTCAGTCAGCAGGCCAGGTTCAATCCTGAAGGGTGAAGGAGCCTCAGAAAGATAGACTGCTGACAACTCTTAGAGTTCACACCTTTTAACAGCAAGAGGAATGATTCAGTAAGGAGTAAATTGGAGGAAAAGAGGTCCACACTGGGAAAGTGTTTCTCATACAGCCCTAACTCCTAAACCATAACCATTAGCATCACAAATGTCTTTGTTTTTAAAGATTGATTTGTATTGGGGTGTGTGTGTGTGTGTGTGTGTGTGTGTGTGTGTGTGCACCACACGTGCACAGGTGCCAGTAGAGGCCAGAAAATTATGCCATATTCCATGGAACTGGAATTAGAGATGAGCAACCTGATGAGAATGCTGGGAACTGAATTCCAGTCCTTTGGAAAAGCAGCAATTGCTCTTAACAACTGAACCATTTCTCTAGGTCCCAAAATTTTCTTAATATATTACTTATGTCTATCATTTCGGAGCCTCAAAAGGCATGGTGCTGACTTCACATATGCTACATTAACGGCCATAGCCTTTTATTCTTTAGCTCTTAGAGTAACTAAAAACTGAATTACTTTCAGATGCCATGCATATTATCCTTTATATCATTTCTTGCTGAAGAAACCAAATACCCTTGGGGAGACAGGGACAGGGATTACCTAAAGTAAATCTATAATATTCTATTATATCAGAATTCAAGAAAGCCATCAAGATTATTAGAAAGATTGGTAATTAGATAATTAGTTGTAAAATAATTACACAACAGCATGAGACAAATATGTCTGAATCTATGATCTCATAAAGGCAGTTAGCATTTTCACATCATATAATTTTTAAAAGTCTTTGTGATTAACATAATAATTGTCCTTATTTAGGAAGCACAATCTGTCATTTCAATTCATGTATACTAATCAAATCAGGATAGCATTTCCACCTCTTTATTACTGTCCTGTTTGGAGCCCTCTGATCAGTCAGACGTAACTAATGATTGTAATCCATAGTGTTTCCTCACTGTTCTTTAGATACAGAAATTTAGCATTCCTATCAAACCATCATTTTTGAAAAGACCCCAAGTAACTAATTCACTTTTCTAATAGCTGATAGCAATAATAATAATAATAATGACAATGATAATCAATGTAGGGGCTTCAGAAAATTTTAAATCCATTCTGCTTTTTTTCTGCAGGAATCCACCAGGAAGAGTCAAATAACTGGTGAAAGACATTTTCTTGCCATCTAAGAAATGGGGAGGACAAGAAGAAGACTCAGCACAGAGATCTGTCAAGTCTCTGGGTGATGTTCAAAACTTACTCCCAAAATTTTTACCATTAAGTCAAACTTAAATTGGATGAGCGTCTAAATCTGTTTCATAGAAAACACGAAAAGACAAGTGAATGCGTGCTAGAACTGGTATGCTGAGTCAGCGAGAAGAACCCGGGCTGCTGGAAACTGAACGATCAGCTGGTTTAAATAAATGGAGAAGAGGAGAAAGGAGGTACATCGAGAGGGGAAGGAACCCAGTGGAGCCGTGAGAGAGAAGAGCAGGAATGCCTGGATGGTAGTAAGAAGGAAGGGAGAAAAAGAGGGAGGGACAGCGCAGAGTAAAAGAACCCCAAGAGCTGGAGCAGCATTGGATACTACAGACCCCAAGCCAGTGTCATTTGGAATCTGATTAAGAGACATCTTGACTCAATTTCCATTCCAGTTCCAGATGCTGGACACCCACCTACCTACACTGCCGATGTGGGTCAGGACCTGCCTGTCAGATGCACTGACATGACACTTAGAATCAGGATTGAGCCACTTGGAGACACAAGGACTGGGACATGTTGTCTCTTGGCAACATGGATCTGCTGGCAGCTCCCAGGTTGCTTCCTCATTCCACAACTCTGGTCCACATGGTCTGTCTCTACAGGCTAAGCTGGATCCAAGAGCTCAGCCTCAACTCTTAGTCTGTAGTCTATGCAGTGATTCTAGAGTTATCTCAGCCATACGAAAATTCTTTTCTTTCTAGGCTCCCTGGAGGTGTCTCTGATATGCCCCCACTAAGAACCTGTCCAAGCTCGGCATCATAAGGGCAAGTGTTGAACCTTCCACACTTTGGAAAGGGTCTGCATTCTAAGTAGGAGATTCTGTGCATGCCAAAGGGTTTCTGAGAACATTTGGGAGACGTTGTATGATGTATGTGTATGTTCAATGTAGGTGTGTGTGTATAGGCAGGGGTCAACTTTGTATATCATTTTTCAGAAATCCACATTGACTTTGAGACAGGGTCTCCTACTGGGACATGAGTCTCGCTGATTAGGCAGGTTTAACTGACCAGCAAGCCTCAGGGGTCTGCCTATCTTAACAACCCTAACAGCAGGCTTACAGCTACACAGCACCATGCCTAGCCTTTTAAGTGGATACAGGAAACTCCGCTTCGGTCCTTATGCTTACACAGCGTTCATTTTACCAACAGAGCCACATTCCCAGGTGCTCTGGGTTAATCTTTAAAATGTAAAGTGATGAGCAGTTTGACACAGTAAATTTTCATAAGAGAAATTAATTTTAAATATAGAATGGATGGGCTGACATTGAGGTGCATTGCTAACTCACAGATACTGCAGAGGAATGGGGGGGGTTGCTTTAAATTCCAAAACATTATAGGCTAACTGTAGAGTCACCTTTTCAACCTGTCTAAGTTTAACCTCGATTTGTAAGTGAAATCTCTGATATTGCAGTCTGGAATTTGGATGTCTCACTTAAGGACGAAAGCTACACTTGTCCTACAGTGAGTCTGGGATGGCAGTTAGGGACATTCTACCACACAGGGGGAAGCTCAAATCCCTGAGCAGAGACCCACTGACAACCTCAGTGCCAGGAGCAGAAGGCATAGAACATGAAAGAACACACTAACCACCCTAGAAAACTCACCAAGCCAATGTACCCCCATAAAGGCACCACTAGGTGTTAAGCAGCCTCCGGCTTTGCCAAAGGAATGAGACAAAGAGCAGCGTTGCTGGAGAGTCTCCCCAGTTGACTCCAGTCCTGCCTTGGATGCAAAGGAAAAAGATGAGTGGGGCCATTCAGGGCATGGGAAAGACTGGGACTTGAATCTGAAGGTTACTATCTGTTTCTTTAATCAGTCTGGGATTTATTTTTCCTTTTTAGAATACAACCCAACAAGAACATATCTTGTTAAAACATCATAGGGTAATGCATTTTTTTAAAGTACTTTGCTAATTTTATAACCAAATGTTAGTTGTTATAATATGTGAATGCTAAGAGTGGTAGATTTTTGTACATTTAAACCCCTACAGCACAGATATCTTTTCTTAGCCGTGTCTCATGCTAGATTCCAAAGATCTCCCTATTGAGCTTTGATAAGCTGCCCAGTGAGAGGAGATAAAATTGGAGTTGCAGAACCTCACCACACTTCTGCACTTGTGATCAGCACTGGAGATCTGCATAACCTTCTCCAGAGTGTTTGGAAATTATTCTCTGGTGATTTATCCTTTTCCAGAACCACAGATAAGAATTTATTTCATTTTGTCAGTGACAAATGTGACATGTTTGCCATACAAGATTACAAAGGCAGATGGGGAGAAAACAGGCAACAGCTGCATTTATCATCATTTCAGAGACAGGGCAACAATATCTTTTCATATAACTCTTGCCCACCACATAAATCTTGGCAGCTTGGCATCTCCTGCCCAGACTGTGGGCCTATGAGGAAAGCACCACATTTGTCTTTTGATACAATCTGAGAAAAGAAGGGGACTCAGAAGACAGCCTGGCAGTATCCAGATGGGGCTGGACTCAACACTTTTTCTACGAGACACAAAAGGTAGAGGCAAGGCTGAATGGAGGTTGGTGGAAGGCACCCTGCCTTCTGTGTTCTAAGGAGAAGGAGACCTGAGGAGAAGATGCACCCAGTGAGAAACAACCACTTATTTGCCTAGAGCATACTCATCTGCAGTTAGGCATAGCTCTCTCTTCCCCCCATTAGAAGCAAAAAGTATTGTGAGTCTGCCAGCATCTGTTTTGTTACTTCATAGTACTGTGACCACCCAACAAGAAGCAACTTGAGGGATTTATTTTGGTTTCTGGGATAAGGGTGCAGTGTTTTAGCGAGGAAGCCATGGCAGCAGAGACAGCTGGAATAAGCAGTGAGTAAGAATAGCAACACTCACCTGGCCGGTTCCTGTTTTTTCGTTGTTCAGTCTGGCCCCCAGCCCATGTCATGATGCTGCCTACGCAGGGTGGGTCTCCTCTCCTAAATTAATTCTGTTTAGAAAGTCCCTCACAGGGAGGCCCAAAGGTGTACCTCACTAATGCCGTAGGAATTTCTCGTCGAATCGAGTTGACAATCAAAGTTAGTCATCCCAGCTCCTCTTCAGGAACCACACGCCATTTCTTACATTCTCTCTTGCTGTGGCTGTTTCTCTACATTCCAAGGACAGCTCCTGTAAGATCCTTGGACAAGGGAGGAAAACAGTCTTCCTTGTATGGATCTCCTGGAGAAACCATGCCTGCAGAGGGACTTATCCCTGCAGATTTCTCACGGATTTCAGAGAGCAAGATGACACGTAAAACAGCAAGACTCAGGAGGTACAGCTAATGAGATTAAAAGGTCATCTATCTTACACTTGTTTACCACTAAGCTCCTTTGTTAACCAGAAACTGATGTGGGCCTTGAATCTGGAGTAATTAAGATTAGAGTTGGAATTCCCTATCTAAGTTGGATTCCTAAATGTTTAGTGGCCACATCAGTCTATGAGCAAAACCTGGAGCAGGGAAACCAGACAGGAATCAGGAGCCTGAAAAGGACAAAGGCGGAATCCATCTCAGGATCCAAGATGGGGCCAGGGAAGATCCTGGTTTAAGCTTATGAAGCACAGGTCTAAGGTACTGAGCTTCAGACCCAAGTCTCTTGCATGCAATGTACATAACTCCACTTTATGGGTCAGTGTGTTAGAGATTTGCATGGGTTGGGCTGGCATACCTACCCAAAATGAGACAGACAATACTTAAAACAGTAACAGCCCATTGAGACCTCATACGTAGACATTTACAAAGCTACAGTACAAGGAGAGTCACCTTTAAAAATCACTGTACAATAAACAGCGAACTCAGTACATGCTAGGCAATGTTCTAAGATTATTATATAAATTACCTCTGTGAGGATAATATTGTTCTTATACTCAGTCTACATTTAAATTAAAAACCAAATAAACAGCAACAAAACTGTCACAGGGAAAATAGCAACTGAAGGTCATACAGCCAAACTTGATTCTGAGATAATCAGATCTGTCTTTGGTCCTCCGGGGAGCTCTCCGTTTCACTATGCGATATGAGCATGTGCCTTATGCTCTTAATACACATGAGAATCTCAAAGTCACAACAAGCTTGTGCATACAATGTAAGGCAAGCTCCAAAGCCACTATAAGAAGAAATCAAACATTTAGACTCTAGGGTTCTAAGTAGAGGTGGGGATTTGAGGTTGCCTAAGCCACACAGTCAACCAAGAGGCAACTGGAGTCACTTGCTTGTGGTCACTGTGGTAACAAACTCATTCAAATCTGGTTCTTCCCCTGTTCATGAACATATGGCAAAGTAATATGCTCCCCCCTGGTAGTTACAGGCCAACGGGCTGTGGGTTGTGGGTGTCAGTGACATATGTCACTTCTAAACTAAAGGAAATGAATGACACTGAGGCATTTGAGAGGAGGTGTGAGTTCTGTTCTGTTAGTTTTGTCTTCCCACACCACTGTAAATGTAATTGCCATGCATCCCAGATGCCAGGTCTTACATGGAAGAAACAAACCTCAGAAATTCACCAGACCAGGCATGTGATTTTCATAATAAGAAATAAACATTTACATGTTAAGTTACTAAGGTTTGGAGGGGCGCATTTGCTAGTGCAGCAAACCTCTTGTCTATCAAATGCAATGATACTGCCAGTTGATGAAGATTACTCCTCATCTTAGGTCAACTATATACCTTTGCAAATGTCATTCCATTCATCAAGCACTTCCAATAGAGAAAGCTGAGACTCAGAATGACTGGACCTGGAACTATAACTAATTCATGACAATTGTGGTTTGGTTTGGTTTGTTTCTATTTTTCAAAGACAGGGTTTCTCTGGGTAGCCCTGACTGTCCTGTAAACCAGACTGGCCTCAAATTCAGAGATCCACCTGCCTCTGCCTCCCAAGTGCTGGGATATAAGGTGTGTGCTAATTCCTATCAGTTTTTTCAAGCTCTAAAATACCCTCATAGTAAAACTTATTCCTCCAAGACACATGCCCCCCCACCCCTACTTTGGCTTTAAAAGAAAGCAGTAGACATTTCAAAGCTATTTAAAATATAGATGACAGAGGCATACAGCCACACTTATACATTTCAGGATAAAAGTATTAGGGAGAGATTTAGAGAAGGTTTTTTTTTTCATTTCATAATGTTATATTTTTCCTGTAATAATCACATATTACTTTTGTAACACAAAAGTAAACTTTGCAGGGATGAATTCAGGTATTTCTCAAGGAGGCTGATGCAATCAACTCTACTTAGGCATAAAATAAGGACACCATCTAATGCATCATGGTGCATACACAACCAGCTCAATTCTGATATAATCAGTTCCTGTTTGTTCCCTCACATCCTTAAGACTGGGTTCATCTCAGATTACATCATAGTTGAGCTCCTCATTCAGTGGGCTAAGTGCATAGGGCTTTGGGAAGTAAATTTGAGTCAGAGTTAGTGGATCAAAGTACTACATGTTTAATTCACTTGCCTGGGTGGGCTAACCCTTAGATGCACCAAAGTGATATAAATTCCTTATTCTCCAGAATTGAATAATTATACTGGTATTTACATAAAGGATTTGATAAGTCTAGTTTGTAGTTTGCCAGAAGCTGTTACCAAGTTGCCAATCCTGTTGGTTTTGCAAGCGAGTACATGGAACTGAAGATATGATCTGAAACCAGAATATTTCCCATTCCTATGTGTCAGTTCAAGGGTTAATATATTCACATTTCTAACTCAAATCTTCCCAGTGTCAGCTCTGCCCAGTCAGAGCAGACAGGTGCCAGAATAAACAATGGGGAAGTTCATGTTCCTGTGTCAATCAGCCTGGCTGAGCTTCTCTTTAGAGACACCGGATTTGCAATGGTAGAGGTGAGGCTTCATGCAAGACTCAAGCATTGAGATATAAGTCTCATAAATAGAAGGAATAGTGAAAGCCCAAGCATTTTCAAACCACACAATCTTATCTCATAATGCTTTAAAAAGTATTTCAGTCCATCATAAGAGAGATAATAGTAGTTTTACAAAGAATGTTGAGAGTGCCTCATAGGAGAAAACATCAGGAAACTGGCATGTGTGCTGTCTACCCTGCCAGCACTCATGGCTAAGGTCATCTTCAGCCAGTCACAGTTTCTGCCATCATGCAAATCAATACCTGCTTTTAAAAAAATCTTGTTCCAGCCGGGCGGTGGTGGCGCACGCCTTTAAACCCAGCACTCGGGAGGCAGAGGCAGGCGGATCTCTGTGAGTTCGAGGCCAGGCTGGACCGACAGCCTCCAAAACAATACAGAGAAACCCTATCTCATAAAACCAAAAAAAAAAAAAATCTTGTTCCAGTTTATTCAGATGAAGAACTGAATTACCCTTGAAAACCCTTTGAATGGAGAGAAGAAACTGCTGGTTTGTAGGGTGTTGGGGCATTAGCAATGCTTAGGGAGGCCAGGACTACCCACATCACCTTCATCCTGAAAGGGGAAGTAAGTGGGCATGTTTATCAGCTACTCTTCTTTAGAGCAGGTAAGTGTGTGAGAGAGACTGCAGATTCTGTCTGGAATGGAACAGCAAATGATGATGGGCATTGAGGGTGCCATCGAGACAACTGACTGTCAGGCTAGAAAGTGCTGTCCTATCCAAAGGGCACCGCCACCACTCACCTTGTGCCATGAGGAAGCTCAGACCCAGTATTTTGTTAATGAAATGCAAGTAACAGAGAAGTCAATATCCAATTTCTTGACTTTTAAATGTAAGTAAAGAACTTGGAGAGGAAAATAAAACAAAGGAAGTTCATCAGGCTTCAAGTCATTCAATAGAAGAAAAAAATGAACATGTAAAGTCTAGAAACTGCAACCTCTGCATTCCTTCCTTCAACAACATTTTCTGAGAATCTATGGAATATGTAGCTAAACAAGGATCCTGATAGCTAGACAGCAGTGGAATACATCTTTAATTCCAGCACTCAGGAGTACACTCTCTGAGTTTGAGGCTAGTCTGGTCGGTAGAATGAGTTCCAGAGTTCCAGGACAGCTAAGGCTACACAGAGAAACCATGGCTTGGGAAAAAAACACAAAAAAACTAGGGTCCTGCCCTCACACTTCTTACAAGTTGGGCTGGGATGTAGCAAAGTCTGTGTCTAGCATGTTAGTCTGGGTTTTACCCTCAATACTGATTAAAATAAACATTTGGGTTTTTAATAATAAAATTTAAAATAAAAAATTAAATATAATGTGAAACAGTGATGATGTGCAAGGGATTCTAATTCTGGACTATTTGTACCTCTGGGACCTATAAGAGGTAAGTCTACAAAAAAATAGATTCCCAGAAAGGGCTTTGCCAAAGAGATGATATCTAAGTTGAAATGAAAAAGGTGGCTGACCCAGTCTATCAATATTTGTGGTTGTATAACAAACCACCCCAATATTTACTAGCCAAAAGTAATCATCTCTTTAGCTCATAATTCTGGACCAGGTGGGCAGCTATAATCTGGGTCTTGCTCTCACATCCACAGTGATGCTAAGTTAGATGGGGACTTGACTGGGAATTACTCATCTAGGAAATCTCCATCAGATAGATTGTCTCTGCTCCATGTGGACACTGTTTTGTCAGCAGCCTAGTAAAGGTTTGCAATTATGACAACTGGGCAAGCTTCAAAAAATGCATAGAGCCAGGTGGTGGTGGCGCACGCCTTTAATCCCAGCACTCGGGAGGCAGAGGCAGGTGGATCTCTATGAGTTTGAGGCTGGGCTGGACCGACAGCCTCCAAAACAATACAGAGAAACCCTGTCTTATAAAAAACCAAAAAAAAATGCATAGAAAGAGGCAAGCTTCAGTGTCTAGGCTCATAATTGTCACAGGGTAACTTTGCCTGAAGCCTTTTGGCCAAATGCAATCTCAGAGCCAGCTCAGACTCAAGGGAAGGAGAAATAGTCTCCCCATTGTAGACAGCAGTCACATTGAAGAAGGTATGGTTTCTGGGAGAGGTCAAGAATTACAGACATTTTGGTAATCCTCTTTAACTAATGGAGTATGTAGCATGTGGAAAGCCCTGAAGATAACTGAGAGAGAAAATAGAGTTACAGAGAACACAAGTTGTTTAGTGGAACAGCAACAGAGAAATCAAAAGGTTTTCAAGGAAGGACACAAGTGAGAACAGAGACCCAGTGTGTATACAGC